GAATAATGTTTTTGTAAATGTAAAAAGCTTTTAATGGAGCTAGAGAAGAAACTATGTTTGGTCATAGTATTATCTGGTTACGAACTAAAAATTCAGAGCTCTCTTGTGAGTCATGCTGCCAAGAATTGCAGGCTTAATCTTCAAGATTGTATGAATTTGAATTTTGACTTTATGGCCTCAGTCGGTATGAGGATACAAAGATAATCATTAGCAAAAGCACTTTTGAAAATGGTAGAATGTTACATGGAAAGTTAGCTCTTAGAGATAGTTATCAGATAGATGTGATCCTATTTTATTCTTCTAAGTATCTGGATTAATAAATTAGCCAATATTTGATGACCTGATATGACCAGGCACAGTGCTAGGCACTCAGTGAGTTCCCAAATAACTCTATGCAGGCCTTGTTCTCAAGGAGCTTCTGAGCAGGACAAGGGGATTAAAAAGTATATTAATAACTAATTCAAGGAAGAATGTAATAAATGCATGAGAACACCACTGGTGTTCAGTGGAGAGGAAATTCCTTTTAAAAAGGGAATAAAGGAAGACATTATGGATGTGGTGGCATTTGGGCTGGACCTTGAAAAAGAGTGTGCTTGCCCCTGACAAGCCAGCCAAGCAGGGGTTGTAGGCAGAGAGAATGTCATCAGGAAGGCTGTGGGTGCGCAGAGCTCCGGTGTTTTGTTTTGGCTGCCACACGGGGCTACAGGTGGGAGGAGATACGGGGGCAGGAGGAAGACCTGAACCCCTGGGAGAGCTATGATCTGGGGAAAAGGTAGAAGCGGGTCATCAGAAGATGGATCCTGGAGCAATAAGAACCCAGGAGCTAAAAAGCAGCAGGATTTAAGAAGTAGGGGAAGAAAGAGGCAGACAGGTCCCTAGGAGGCTCTTACAACAAGTCAGGTAATGCGGGCTGAAGAAGCCTGATGGAAACAGTGGAGGAACAGGGAGAGGGAGCACATCTAGAATGCTCAGCAGTGGGCAGGGAGGGCAGAGAGCTGGCTCAGAAGACTGAGAGACTGTCATCCAGCAACCGCGACCAGAGGGACAGTGATGCTGTTCATAGCCCAGAGTTGAAAGACTCGTCATGTTTGTGGGAGAGGGAATGATGACTCACATTTTGAGCCAGCCAGAAATGCCCAGGAGACACTGGAAAAGTGGGTCCGGGGGTCCACTCAGTGCTGGAACTAGAGAGAGAGACATCCGACCCTTTTTCACCTCCCAGTGCCCGCAGTCGTGGTAGTGGGGGGAGCACGTGCCCTGTGACCGCATGGAGAGGGGCGAGGGGAGAGCTGGGAGCCCACTGCATGGGGCAGGGTGGGGGGTTGTTTGCCAGAAGCAGTAAAGGAAAACTGGCAAGGTGCAGTACCTCTCCCAGCCTTGTCCCCAGGCCTGGGAGATGAATCTGACCAGAAAGAGGGAAGAGAATGCTGGAGAGAAAGCATTCAAGAAAATTGCCTTTAGTGGACTAACCTTGACTGCTGGTCTCAGAATAATCAATATCTATGAAGATTATTTGCGGAGTCTCCTTTGTTTCTCCTTCTTTCTTCCTTCTTTTTTCCCCTCTCCTGCCTTCCCTTCTTCCGTCCTGCACATCCACATTTTTGGACTGGCCTAGTGCATGGGTGGCCACTGTTGACCTAAGGAGGAGTTAGGATTCACCACTGTCACCTACAAAGGGTAACTGTCCTTTCAATATTTGTCTTTACAGCCGATTGTGGAGGGAGCCCTTCTCTGCTCCAATATTGCAATGTTTGGGGTCTTTGAAAGCATGAAATGTATATTTGCAATATGACAACATTAACTCTTTTCTATATAACTTTTTACTTCTTTCTCTGTACCATTCTGGAGAGCCACTCATTATATCTTGGTAACTGCATAGGGTCCCAGGGCCAGAGACTGGCCGCTCCTGGCATTGTGATTGGAGTCATTTAATACCCAAGGCCATGACTAATATCTGGTAACAAAGGTTCCACTAGGTGTCACGTGTCCTGGGACCTTGGGTGAGGGCAAAAACGGAGCACCTTATTATTGTGTGTTAGTACCATGGTTGGGAGAAAAGTTGAGAACCAGGTGGATCCATCCAGGGCACCACTGTGAAATGAGAGACCCCCCCCCCCCACTCTCCGTGACCAACACCAGCACAACTAGAAAGCCTAATATCTGTTTAAAACGGAGGTACCCACCTTTGTCTTATCTTTATACCCCAGGCTTTTAATAATAAATTTTTTTCTGTATGTTTACAGAAAGCAGTCAACTGAGCTATTCGTGGAAAGGTTTGTGGGTTTGGTTAATGAGGTGGAGGAGTATTACATTTCAGCTGGAAACACATCCCTAGAATGCCAAAACATTTATTCCAAAGTCTGGTTTCCTGGTGCAATCGGAGGCACGGCAATAGTGTGTCTGTTCAGAGACTTGGGGAGGGGGGACCCACTGGGGCCAGCAAGGCATTTGATCCAAGTGTATCCCAGAAGGCTTTTATTGTTAAATTATATTCTTCAGGATAAACCGCCCATGTCACATTTTGTAAACTTGATATCCATACACTTTTGACTGGCATTCTATTTTAGCCATAAGCTTATGATTTACAGCAAGCCTGTTTTCCCTCTTGTTTAGGGTGGCAGCAGAAATCATGGGGCACTTTCCAGGCTCCAAGGATAAGGAGCAAATGGGGCTGGGGTTTTGTTTCTCCCCAGTAACAATCACTCTAGCTGTACCACTCGGCTCTCCCTGAGCAGAGAGCAAGCTTCTCCTCACTCCCCACTGCCATTCATCCAGCTCCACGCAGCAGCCCAGCTGCTGTGTTTGCCGGGAGGGGCTGCCAAGTGCCCTGCCTACTGGCTGCTTCCCGCATCCCTGCCATTCCACACACAAACACATCCACACACGCTCTGCCTCGCTCACACACGGGGCTACACGCACATGCGAGCACATTCCTTCCTTCCTTCCTTCTCCCTGCCTCAGCCCTCGACTACTACAAGCCCATGGAACATTTCTGGAAAGACGCTCTTGATCCAGCAGGGTAGGATTGTTTTGATTTCTCTGTAGCTTTAGCATTTTGAGAAAGCAACTTACCTTTCTGGCCAGTGTCTGTATCCTAGCAGGGAGATGAGGATTTGTTGTTTTCAATGGCTTTATGTGTGTATCTCCTTTTTCTTCCAGGACTTGTAGGATTCTTTGTGTAATTTATGTGTAATTTGGCGGGTGCAGGTTTTTAAGAGCCCCATGAAGGGCTTTTGCATGTGTTTAAAAAAGACATTTGAAAATTGAAAGTGTGATTTATGGAAACGAAATCATCTGTAAAAAATTGCTTTGGAAAGTGATGGTTGCTGGCCATAAAGAGAAATATCTGTGATTCACCTAATGTGTTTTAACCCTTTCTTTGCTTACAATCTATGGTTATTGATGCTAAGCTCAATTTTGTCTTCATATTAAACCAACTACATCTGCATAGTATCCAAAAATGGTCTGTTTGTTCTTATAAGAACTAGGTAAAATGTATACTTATTAGTATAAAAAAATTTTAAGAAATTACTGTTAGTAACAGCAACCGTGGCATTTATATGTGTCACGAACATTTTGTTAGGTACTCTGTTGGGTGTTTGGGATAGCAATTAAAGCAAAGCATTAATGGTCATATCAGATAGTTGTATCAGAGTCTTTTAGGCTGGGGCAAAGGAAGTTTATTAAAAAGTATAAACTCTCTGGGACTGTGGGTGCACAGTAGATTTACCATATCTCGGGTGTGTGCATACATACATACATTGTTTGTGTGTGTATGCTTAGATTTTAATTCAGTTCAAAACTTTTTTCTATTCCTTTTTCATCTGAATATTTGATTCTGCATATCAGAGTGAAGTAAATGGAGCAGGTCGAACCGCAGGAATAAAGAACAGAAATGGAGCATTGCATTTCAAAATTTGTTGGTTAGACCAACAGTGTAACATAGTGGCCAAAGATTCGGTTAATGAACTGAGGTTACATTTCGTATGAAAAGGTCACATTTCATATTTAGCTTTCTGAAGTTTTGGTTGCATAACCTGTAGAAGACGCGAACACCCATGTGTGCCTAACCAAAGGTTTTTGTGAATCATCATTCACATGAGAATTCATAATGGGAGCAAGTACAGTACTGTGGTCCAACACAAACATACAAGTCAGGCTGGGAGCATCTCAGAAGGTCGTGGCTGGAAGGGACCACTTGGGGGGAGTTTTGCCGCCGAGGAAACAGGTCTGGCACCATTCTGCTGCTGGCAAAGTGCAGCCCATTCCTATAGGTACACCTTGAATCTTCGCCCCCCCTTCTCCCCAGACGTCTCCTCTCAGTCCCTTCAGCTGCTAAATATAGCTGTCTGTGGCTGGTTGCACATGCAACTGAGCACCCCATTCTATCTGCCATATCTCAGTAACAGAGTGGTCCTCCCCAGGGTCATTCTATGTACACACTACATATTTCCAGCCAACTAGGAGAGTGAATCAAACAGAAAGAGAGACAAACAGAGATAGATAGGAGTCCGGCATGGGGCACATAAGGCAGCACGGTGGGGAAAGCCGGCCCCTGGAGGAGTCTTGCGAGTTTGTTTTAAACCTCGTCTTCCCCGGGCCACCTTTAGGAGATCCCTCTGCGCCCCCGCCCTCCGGCAGTGAAATTTAGCCTCCATCCAGCAGCGACGAGTAAAGTAAAGTTCAGGGAAGCTGCTTTTTGGGATCGCTCCAAAACGAGTTGCGCCTGGAGTGATGTTTAAACCAATGTCAGTGCAAGGCAACAGCCCCTGGCCGGCTTCCAGTACCTTTGTAATGCATATGAGCGCGGGAGATCGGTACTTAAAGTTGGAGACTCCGAGCCCGGGAGTTGGCTGAGCGCACTCGCGCCCGGCTGCCCTTGATCGCGTCTGGCCGCCGCGCTCCACGGGACCGGCGGCTCCCGAGGCAGGGCCAGAACTCGTTCGGTGGCGGGACATGCGCTGCGCCACCTCTAACAGCGGGCTGTGCTCTTCTTCCAGGTGGCCGGTCGGCTGCTGAGCCCTCTGCCGCGCGGGGAGACGGTGCGCGCCTTGCCCGCGGCCACTGGCCATGACCATGACCCTCCACGCCAAAGCGTCCGGAATGGCCCTGGTGCATCAAATCCAAGGCACCGAGCTGGAGACCCTGAACCGCCCGCAGCTCAAGATCCCCCTGGAGCGGCCCCTGGGCGAGGTATACGTGGACAGCAGCAAGCCCGCCGTGTACAACTATCCCGAGGGTGGCGCGTGCGACTTCAACGCCGCTCCCGCAGCCTCCGCGCCCGTCTACGGCCAGTCCGGCGTCGCCTACGGCTCCGGGTCCGAGGCGGCGGCGTTCGGCGCCAACGGCTTGGGGGGCTTCCCGCCGCTCAACAGCGTGTCTCCGAGCCCGCTGGTGCTGCTGCACCCGCCGCCTCAGCTCTCGCCCTTCCTGCACCCCCACGGCCAGCAGGTGCCCTATTACCTGGAGAACGACCCGAGCGGCTATGCGGTGCGCGAGGCCGGCCCTCCCGCTTTCTACAGGTACCCGCGCCGCCCGCCGCGCCACGTCGGGGTGGCAGCCGCGCGCCCGGCGGGCGGGAGTGGCGAGGGGGCCCCGCGCGGCCGGGGGAGCTCGCGGGAGGCCGCAGGCCGCGGGGCTGGGCAGCCGGCAGCCCGGCCGCAGGAGCCGCGTGACTCGCGGCCCGGCGGGGGCGTGGGGTGGCGTGGTGGGGGGAGGATTTGTGGATCTTGCTTTCGAGAGCCAAGTTCCCTCGCCTGGCCGCTTAAAGAAGATTCTGTTCTCTCCCCCCTACCATCTGCGTAAGCGGCAGATCCGAAAACCCATGGGCTTCCCAGCTCATTTTGGAAAATCGTACAAAGCGGCGGTTATTTGTGTGTGGGAGGGAACACCCCAAAGCAAATAAACACAAAGCTCTTGGAGTCCCTACTGAATGTCCCGTCTTGGTATTTAAGGCTGGAGGTGCGTAGGGTTGGTTAGCGAAGCTCAGAGTTTTATTATTATTATTATTATTATTAATTAATTGAAATTGTTTTAATGTGCTCGCAAGATTTCCTTTCATCTACAATTTCTGATTGGAGGTATGCACGCTATTATTAGGATGACGATGATTTTGTTTGTTTTAGCAAGCAGTGCTTGCGCCTACTTTCCCTCCTTTCTCTCCATCCCAAGTTCAAGGCTGTGGGATTGAATTGTTCTCCTCCAAAGAGCAATAGAGGAATTGAATGTCTTAATGAGTTTCTGATTTCTGAGTTATCTGGCTGGGTACGTGTTGGAGCAGATTGCTGGCATATGACTTCTGACAGCCGAAAATTTATAGGTGTCTTGTGAGTTTAAAACACGCCATATGGAAGAGTGTTTTGAAATAACCCTCGTGCCAGCTAAATTACCTTCTGGCCTACCGGCAGAGCGTGCCCCGGGAACGGTGTGCGGGGTCAGCTCGGCTGTGCACCTTTTAGTCGCTGTAGAAGTGTTAGGAGTCCAGGACATACAGAAACGCATTTGTGACTTAAGTGGCCAGTGTTTTGGGTCCTTACATCCCCAAACCCCAAGGATTATACTTTCCTCCCCTCCCTTCTCCTACTACCCCTTTGACAGTTTCTGTGTTCTCTTCCTGATGGACCTGGGGAGGGCTTAGGTGGGTGATACTGATGAACACTTGTGCCCTAGGCACCTAACGGCCACCTGTACTCTGGGGTGGGTTTGGGAGTTCTCAGGGCGCCCACGTGGCTGGGTGCTGAGTTAGGCACAGCCAGACTGCACACTGGTGTCTGGACTTGCCTCCCTCCCTCACCTGGACCCTTCTGCATTGCCCGCTATGGACCATTTCCTATTCAGTGTTCTAGTTCCAGAGATACAGCAGAAGAAACAGGAAGAAGGTGCAGGTTGGGCCCAGAGGATACTGAAGGGCATACTCTTGGGGTATCTGAACGTATCCCATATCCTTCAGCCTCCTCAAAGGATTTTAGAGCATCCCACAGCCAAACAGGTTCAGACTGAGTTATTACTTAAAAGACAAAGAATGAACAAAACTTTAGAAAGTTGGCATATTTCAAATTAATTTTACTTGTTTTAATTCAGGGTTAAAGTGGAAAGAAAAGGGATTTATTCTGCTCACTTTTTTTTTTTTTTGAAGTGTTAGAACAAAATATAACGATTAAGGCTTATTCACACAACCTTTTAAACTCCTTGATGTGAAGGAAGGCACTTGGTATGATGTGAATTCCATAACCTTATGGTGGACTCCGGAAACTATTTTCTTTTTCATTTAATTTTCAGTTCTTTTATTGCAAATTAATCCTACTGAATTTCAATGGGTACTAATGAGACTGCTCCTCAGCGGATTATTTACTGACTTGCTAATAATTACAAAGTGAGCATGGTCAAATAAAGAGGAGACCACATTTAATTCAAAATTGCTCATCATCCCAGTGGCAAATAACATTACTATAATATGCCCCATCTTAAACTTTTTGCATTAGATGGTATTCAAATATATTTAGAATAATGAAAAAAATGACATGGAACTTTAATAATAAAGTTAAGAACTCATACACATGCGTTTCCATGTGGAAACTTAGTTTTAGAAGGATTTTTTCTTTGTAATTTATTTCCTATAACATCCTTACTCTTTGCTTTGAATCGTGCCTCTGAGTAACCAGGGAGGAAGAGATGGCTCTTTATAACTGTTGTTTCAAGTGGACAGATGTTATTTATTTTGCCCTCTCAGTTTTCCTGTCTGAATAACTCTGGGTAGAAAGAAAAAAAAATTGATTAGGCACTTTTAGAAACCTTCCGTTATCTTCAGTAGTTACTAAAGTTTTGGGGGTTGCAAGCAGTGTTTCCAAACTGCTTGTCATGATCCAGGGGATCATGAAATCGCTTAGTGAGTCTGGAACATTTTTTTTTAAGGAATAAAATGAAAAAGAATATAATAGAAAGTATCACAGGGCATAATATTTAGTAAGGGTAGGTTTTGTTTCCTGAAAATTTGTTTTAATTATATACGTTTATACGCACCAACTCTGATGTAAAATGTATTTCTTACCATAGACGTTTGAAAATTAGTGGCCTAACATGTTATGCTTGGTACGAAACACAAAATTTAGGAAAGTGGCTAGTTGTTTCAGCTACATAGACCAAAAAGGTATTTTGATTGTCGTTATATTATTTTCTCCCTATAAATTGGCTGGTGTCTTCAGGTCAGTTAGATTAAAGTTTATTATTTCTGATTCTTAACTTTTCCATTTGTAACATGGTGCCGTCACGTGGATTGTCTACCTGGATGTCCCACTGGGATGTTCAGAGAATTTACATGAAGTTCACATCATTAACATAACATAATAAAATTAAAAAAAAGATACTATGGTTACTTTCTTCTAAAGGCCACAATATGCAGCCATATCTATGTATAAAGAAATGTAATAGATAAAACTGCTCTGGGCATACAATAATGTGAGAAAGATTGTCACATGTCCCAGCAAATTGTTGAGAGGGAATACATTTGTAAACGGGCCAGTTGTGACTTTCCAAGATGTGTCTTACCTAAAATTTCATGATGAAGGCACCTGGGAGTTATCTTATCCTCAGTTCCTTTTGAGTGTTCAAACGATTTAGGAGGTTTGAATAAAACTAAAGAATGAAACATATTATATCCACCATGTTTTTAAAAATTCAAATTAAGTATTTAGTGCTCTGTGTTCATTTCAGTTTTACTACTCAGTATTCTTAAAAGCTAAATTTTACCCACTTCTCCCCGCCAAACTGCACATACACACAGATCTTTAGCATCAAAATCAATGTCTTAGTAATTTTTCTGCTGGCTGTATGCATATTTTGAATGAGTAGTGCGATCATTGGGTATCATTTAAAAATGATTTCTCAACTTTAAATAAGGCTTATTTCTAGGGAGAGATTTGAATAGCTAGTTTGCAAGTTTCCAGTAATTCTTTCCTTGTGTTTAGGTGATATTTTAGCACCTTTTATTTCTGTTCTTACTTTCATTCATTTAAGTTGTTACTGTTGACCTGACATTTTGTGTTGGTCTAAGAGTAGTTGAAGGAGCCACATATTGCCTTGGGACTGAGTGTATTTTAGGTTGAAAAATGGATTCACATCTTGAATCCCCATTTCATTTTCACCTACTCCATGTGGCTTGTTTGGTAGAAAGCCCCTGCAGGATAATTACCACTTATTATAATCTTCTTTCTTGCACTCAGGTAATATGGATCCTTGGATTGCTTTTGTAAATATATTTAGGATATGACATTCCTAATATGGGAAAATTCAGGTTTAGCATTTGGGTTTCTTATTGTTTTAAGAACATAAAAGACAGGGGCAAGAAATCAACAATGACAGGAACAACAGATATCAGGAAAAACTATAAAAGATGACACACTTTCTGTTAATGATAACGTAGTAATAATTTTGTCAAGTGGGATAGTGTATAGGAAAGCAGTACATAACTACACAAGGATTCAGCATTTCATTATTTCTTTCACATATTAATATTCATTCCAGTGCTTCTGTAAGCTAAAAGATAGTAGGAAAGAACAGATTTAAGTGGTCAGGAGTTTCATTACAAATATAAATTAATGATCATGTGAAATCATTTTCTGTGGAAGTGAAATTTAAATAAAATCTTTATCACCATCTGCAACATTTATTTGCAGCCTAGGTTATCATAAATAACATTTATTTATAGATACATTAAAAAAATCAAAACCCTGCTTATGTGAAAATAGTTTTACATGAGGAAATATACAAATTATAATTACATTTTTTCTAAAATACACACTCAGCACAAAACGAATACATCTGACTCCTTCCTTTGACATCAGTATTATTTTTAATGTAACTTTAGAAGAACCCAGTGAGAGGAACAACGTGCTAAAAGTGTGTTCCCTGCTTTTCCAGGATACATTGAATGGATAGGACAAATTAGTCATTTAGCTTAATCCCAAGACTCTGTTTGCTTTTTGAAGAAGGAAAACACAGAATGGCCACAACTGTTTAGAACCAAGTTGCACATTCCAGAGAAAGATGCTTTATAAATCCCCAAAATACAGCCACTCGAACACAAACCAACCAAAGTGAAACTGTGAGGGATTTCATTGAAAGCAGGCAGCCCATCAAAGCCATCAAATCGTTTTGTTTTATACTTTAAACTCTGCCAATGCATTGACAGATAATGCCCTTTTTCAAAAAAGGTACATTTAAGCTGTTCCCTGCTCCACTTGTAAAACATTACCCCCCTGCTGCCCTCTGAAATCTGAGGACTTCAGTGGGCTGGAGGCGAAGAATCATATTCTCGATCTAAGGAGGGAAGAAATCCTAATTCCTGAGCTTCTGCACCTTGGAGAACGTTATTAGGAATTATGAGGGAAGCTTCACATTAATTGACAACACTTTCAGTCACGTGTGCATGTTTACACCCTATTAAGAAAGATAGAAAAGACAACTACTTTGGTCCCAACTGACGAAATTTTACATAGTTTGGTAAAGTAATAATTTCAAGAAGCTG